TTCGTTACTTATATATATATATATATATATATATATATATATATATATATATATATATATGATACATAACAATAACAACAATAGAACCGTAAGGGTCTAATACACTACTATCATCAAATCAATATTTTAAATATAAAAAATATATTTAACTAAATCAAGCTTGAGAATCGATAAATATTTATGAGATGAGATTTCCAACTCTCAAGTTTTAAGTGGGTTTATCACATCACCAACCCCTCTACTTAGATCGTTTTTTATAACTCTTAAGTATAACTATGTGCCTATTTCATTTTTCATGTGATGTTTGGTCTATTCTTCCATATTTTTCATAAACTTGATGTCAAGTGTTTTGAGCCAATCTAAATTAAATTGATTAATTTTTATCATCCATCGAATTGCAATAATGTTATTAAATTAAACCTAATATTGAACATGATAGGTGATTTAAATAGGAAATGATTGTAATAAAAAAAAAATAAAGGCCCATGTCAGTTAGACAATGTAAGAGTGAGTTTACTTACCATCAGTAAAATTATACAAACATTGAAGTTTTTCAAAAATATTTGAAGAATTAAGACATGTAATGATCCATGCAATGATTCTCTAAGAATTTTGGTTATTCAAAACCATATTTCTTAGAGTGAAAATAAAATTGATAATTAATTCATAAAGCAGTATCTTTTAGCTAACTATAACATTTTTAAAAAAGCATATTCCTAATGATGTCAGGATCTCTATAGTCTGAGACACCAAAAATTCTGCCATATTAGAAAAATCCAACTTCATCCTTTCCCAACTGTTCTACATCTTTAATTTCCACATGGAACCAAATTCTCTCTTCCACAAACATTAGATATATAGCTAAATCAATCTTAGCCCTAAAGGTGAGTATGAAGAGAGGCTTCTCTCTCTCCAAATCATGCACATGTTTGTAACTTGATTCATTCTTAGATATTTTTTATGAATGGCCAAGACATAGATAAGTATGAGTAAACAACCAAGTATAATTAACAAAGAAATAGAAGACATTAAGCCAATTTAGTAATATAAATATTATTATCAGAATTATACAACCTAAGTTATCAAACATTTCTTTTACCAAGTATTCATCATCAGTGGGAAAAGTGTTTTCTTTCTCTATCCATGATGAAGCCCATCATATTTGCATTAACAAAGAAATAAAAAAAAACAATAAACCTATCTATTATACAACCAAAGCAATCAAGCATTTCTATCACCAATTATTCATTATCAGTAGAAGTTTTTTTTTTTCTCCATCCGTGATGAAGCACATCATACTTGCATTTTACTTTGTGGTTCCATAATTATTAACTCAAAACACTCAGAATACTTTCCTAGCAGAATCAACAATTAAAAGAATCATTCAACCCTATCGACAATACACCAAAGAAGCAACAAATGTTATTGTTCAGTTCTCATACAGAACCATGAGTAACTGCATGTTGCAATACCAACATCCTTGCACAATTAGTTCGAACACATTCGGTGGCGAAGAAAAACTTCTCCAGATGACGGTGAAATACTGAAGCTACTAATCAGTAAATTCACAGTTACTAACTGGAAAATTCCATCATATCATGGCCAATTGTCAGAGGATGGTGCAAGCACATCTGTTGGTCTTTGGGTCTTTAGCAAGTGGTCTTTCTGTATAGAAATTACAAGGTTAGTATGGTAGCAAAATAAAATTAAGTTTGTATGGTAGGATGACTATGTAAACAAGAAATGCACACATCTGTTCACATTTGAATCTCATTGCGTCATATAGAAAATGTACAAATTAATAACCCTAATTCAATGGAGATTTACTACTTGCATCGACAAAAGAAACCGTCACTCATTTGCACTATGTTATAAGGTATAGACCAATAACTCATGATTATTGTCCTAATATTAGAACCACAAATGCAATTTTACCAGCATCAAATTGTATTCCTAATTTCCTATCACTTAAATGCAGATAATTAGGCCCTAAGTTTGAGCATGTGCTATGGTTTAATTAACGATGACTCAAAGAACCATCTTTCTTGGTTCAATCTTTTCCAAGATAAATCACAATTTATAATGTTTTTACAGGATGATAAAACCAAAACGCATGAACTTATCTTCCATAACTTGTATTAACACTAAAAGGCATAAAATATGTGCAGCGAGAACTAAAAAACAAATGTGAAAGCAATAACATCAGAGTCTGCCAATGGGACATCAACCATGTGCGACATCAACCCAAAATCAAATTTCTAAAGTGATGATATAAATTAATAAAAACAGTGCAATGAACTTGCATAACTGCATCATGTATGTAAGATTATTTGTACTTAGGCCACACAGGATTGACTGTTTGCACTTACAAACTTGCATAATGTACACAAAGGTATCTTTCAGGTTAAATTAGAATCTCCTTTCCAGATATGTTAAATACAAATTCAAGTTAAACTAGGAGTATGGTTGGATGTATTGACACATGGTATGTTCTCATGCCAACCAGTATGAGTCTGGCTGCAGGGGAGGGTAGAATTGAGAGAGAGAGAGAGAGGAGGAGGACGTAACAGTGACCCAAAGGAAAAGGCAGCAGCAACAAACAGAAAGGATGAGGCGGCAGAGGAAGTGGATGACGATACTGCAGAGGAGGAAGAGGAGGAGAAAGAAAATAAGAGCAGAGATGAAGGCAAAGTGAATGGAGAAGGCAAAGAGGAGAGAGAGAGAGAGAGAGATAGAAGAGAAAAACAACTGTCTTATCCTTATAAAAACAGAAAAAATTTAAAAAGTACCAGTGTTAGGCAGTAGGCTTACTCCCACATACGTATCAATACCAATTAGTTTATCATTGGGTAAGCTAGTATGATGACCTTACTGGGTGGTCAGCTTCGTTTTGCACCAGACCAGAAGAAATTGTTCATATACTGGATGGCTACGGAATGATAAATACAGGTCCAGCCGGTACAGTTGAAATTTTAAACCTTGACAACAAGTACATATACAATATATTCTTGATGTATACCTCATCATACAAAAGAATGTATCAGATGATCACGTCCATTAAAATCCATAATAGAATGTTACATTATCTCAAAAATATTCTTTTAATTCCTTTGTTTCATTTTATCATTATCAACAATCTCCAGAAAATAGATGGCAACTGGCAGGTAGTCATGGTTCTGTTAGAATTGTAAGCATGTTGCAAGGAAGATGGAGTAATGCAAGGTGCAAAAAATCAAAGTGCCTGAAATTTATACTAAATAAAAGAGGGACCAAAAAGATGGAGTAATGCAAGAAACGAAAACATGTAAAGAAAATTTTAAAAGAAAAAAAGAAAACATGCAGCAACTCATTTCCTCCACTTGGTCGATGCAATTCTAGATCATTTTCACCCCAAGTCTCCTAACAAGAAATGAAACAATGACATGGGCTACAACTAAATATATCCATTTTCGACTTGCCTGAGGGCCTGACCAGCTTCAAAACTGAACCAACACAGTCCAACTGAGCTAAGTGGTGCATGAACCATTTGAGGACTCAAAGTCCTTGAGACAGCCCAAGATAGTGTTTCAGACATTGAAAGGCACACAGAGACCTCTCAGATCAAGAAAGGTATTTAGGCAGTTGCCTGCTCTTAAGGAAACACAGATTCAATTGACACGATATCATTTTGAATCAATATTCTGTAAAATATAGAAGAAATACTATATCTAAACTCCAAAATGCACCCTGTAAGAAAATTAATTCATAATGTCATGCAACTGAATCCTATGTGCTGTTTGACACCCATCGGTATTATGTTAATACATAAGACATGCTAAATCTATTCCACTTTTTCAAACACTAGGAAGATCATAACTGCTTGAAAAGTTTGACTAAAAGTAGCTTTTAAATGTTTCAATGTGGAGCATTAGGGCATAACAAATGCAAAAAAGAAATTCACTTAAGAATATAATTGGAAAAGAATTAGTTCATTTGGCAATAGAAACTATATAAACAAAAAGTAGTTTGAACTTTGAACATATGAACAAACATAAAAGAAAAAGCAGGAATCACAGAAAATACCATTATTTTTGTCAAGCATGGGAGGCCGCACTACAACATGCATAGTGATAACACCACCAGGAAGTTCACAAACTGGTACCCTAGACTCAGTAATTGTCCAGGTGTTCTCCAAAATCTTTCCAGCATTTATGAGCTTGACATCATTTATGGTTTTTGGAGCAATTTCTGTACCTAAGTAAACAAATGAGTTCAGCCCCCAAAACAATACATAAATGAAGGGAAAAAAATTTCAAATCCAAAGGGCTATATGATTTAAATATTTAAAAAAAATTAAAAATAATGATGTTGTAGATAGTGGCATTTATCATAAATAATTAAAGTGAGAAGGCTCTTCTTTCCAAATAAACATATATGATTCAAAAACAATTTACTTT